TGAAGATTGTGATAGTTGTTACAGTGGCCGTGTAAGATGGCTCTGCAGAGATGACGTTTGAAGGGATGACATGGACCAAAACCATCGCAAAGACAAGGCAATAAAGGTTCATTCCTTTAACAACGCCATTAATCACTACTATAACGGGTCTTACCTCCTGTGTGCACGCTTCAGGCAAATACTGCCTTTCCTTGTCACCTTTGGCTGGGTGGTAACTAATGAACGGTAAAGAACAGCTGTTGCCAACCGGGACTTCTGACTATTTCTTGCGCTGTTTCCTCATGGAGGCTCTGCTGGTATGAATCCGCTTTCAACGTGAGGACATGCTGAAGACAACACGCTCAGTCGACCATTTACAAAAGTCTTAATATTCCGCCTTTAACACGCATAGAAAATAATCTATTTGGTTTGGCCCATCTGTCTTCCGGATATGCTAACCTCCCAGTCCGTGACCACTGAGTCTGCGCGAACAGCATCACGTGACCAAAGTTAATTTTCTTTTTTAATTTTTTTTAGTATTTTATTTTTTTATTGCTAACAGTTGTGTAATAAATCATACATTTCCTTCCATCAAATCTACCTCACCATAAACGAATAAATAAATACATATTTAAATTGACAAGAAAAAAAAATTTATATCGCACGAGCACAACGCCTCCTCCTCGTGCACGCGACGACTGCTTCCCAATCAAGATGGCTGCCCACAGTGCTGTACTCTCGATGTCCAAAATCATTAAACCTTTCTGGGGCGGACACCTCGGAAATACGGTGAAAGTAAGAGAAAGCACGTTGGTTTTGTGAAGTCGGTGGTGACCGTTGCTATGCGGCTCCACGTCAGAGTCGACTGTTTGGTCTGAGCACAAGGTCATATGGTTTAGCAGGCTTCTTCTTCTTCTTCCTCCCTCTTTCAGCAGCACTGAGGCAGAGTTGGTTGCATTCAGGTTTCTCTCTTCATTTTGTGTTTCAGGTATTTGGAACAACTCTGACCGGTCACAGGAATAAGAGCTCGTTGACTGTGAGTGAATCTCTCTGTGTGTCTCAGCCCTGTTAGAGTGAGAAGCTGTGATTTAGTCTTTAACACTGGATATGTTTATAATAGTTCTAGTCCATAAAAATCACTGCTTTTTATGAAACTGTTTATTTCTAAGCTGTATGGCCTTGGGTTAATCTTTTGAAGTGGTTGGGTATTTTTTGTATGTGTTTTAACATAACCTGGGAGTGCTATATATCTGTTCTTCCACCCTCTTTGGGGAGGAGAGGTTATTATGCCTCTGTACTTGCTGCTACCTGGATTTTCTCATGTAGCTGTCCAACTGACTCTTGTCCTTCTGCTTTCCTTGCTGTCCATCATCAACTACAGAGGGAAAACATTGTAAGTAGCTTACTCTGACGTGGTTTACTCGATCACAATGCATCACTTCACGTACAAGAAAGATCATAACCTGTCCTATACTAAAAATATATCACAATATAACACTGACCAGAAGACCTACTGTCAACGTTAGTACATCACAGTATGTATATGTCAAACAAATAGTGTATATATTTAGTTTAGTAATTCCTTTGTAATCCTGGTTTAATAGCAACAATGTTCTTGATTCACAACATTAAAAAAAACTACAATATGATGACATTAATAATTGATTAACAACAGCGATGATTTGCCCAGTCTAAAAAACACTATAAACCTTTTACTGCTTAACATTACCTTACACACCTACTTCCTTTTTGACTTGGCTTCGTAGAACTGAACTGGAGGTTTTGAATTTTCTAGCCCATTAACTATAAATTATGTGTATTGCCAACAATTACACAAGTATTCCAGATGTTTCAATGAAATGTTCCTACCTCCTGGGCTGCCAGTATTTTTGTTTTCTCCATTTCACTGAGGTATTAAAACTGACTTTCACATAGTTGAAAATTGCTTGTAAAGGCCAATTCACCAAAGTGAGCATTACTCCACATTATTTTTTGATAAATGAATGCATTAATATTGATTGGAATGTGTTGGCCATACGTACTGGCATTAATTTAAAGGTGGTAGGTTGGAAATAAACCACCAGTGTTGTCCTTTTTAAAGTTCAGTGCTGTTAATAATGTATAAAATGCCATTGTTACAGCCCCCGCCTGCAAAGTACGGAGGCAGACACACTGTGACTCTAATACCTGGAGATGGAATCGGTCCGGAGCTGCTAAATCATGTCCGAGAGGTTTTCAGGTTGGTTAGACTAAAAATAAATCCTGTGCAAAGTGTTTACTGCTGACCGTCGAGGATTGCCTCATTATGTGGTTCGTATTGATGCTGTAGGTTCAGCTGTGTCCCAGTGGACTTTGAGGTGGTGCATGTGAACTCTGCTGTGGAGACTGAGGATGATATCAATAATGCCATCACTGCCATCCGCCGTAATGGAGTTGCCCTCAAAGGTGAGCAAACCGCTTATTTTCAGCAGAGCACAGCTGAGAGAAGCATGTAGTTTATAATAAGACCATGACACTAAAGTGTAACTGTGATATTACTTTAACTCTCCTGATAGGTAACATAGAAACCAAACATACCATGGCGCCATCTGTCAAATCCAGAAATAATCTCCTCCGGTAAGAGTTTTATTGAAATATTCAGTTCCCTTGATAAAGGCTGTCTTTTGTCAGATGGCTTACATTTCTTCCATAATTTGGTCATTTGTGTCTGGTAATGTCAGTTGACCCATTGTTCTCCCCCTCCCTCTCTTGTTCCATGTGTGTATCTAAAGCACAAGTTTAGACCTGTATGCCAACGTGATGCACTGCCAGTCCCTCCCCGGAGTCCAGACTCGCCACAAGAACATTGACATCATGATCATTAGGGAGAACACAGAGGGAGAGTACAGCAGCCTGGAGCATGAGGTCAGACAGAACAGAAACACAATCAATCCTATTGTCTGCTGAAACACACACATACTCATTTAAAGACCTATTTTCTCTCTCTTTCGCCCCAACTTCTTCCCTTCTTATTCTATTTTGAAATGGGAGTGTGGTACTAGTCATGCACTATTAAAAGTACAGCATGTATTTACCAAGGGAAAAACATTAAGATATACTTGATCAGTCTTGGTACAAATGATAAGCTTATTAAACAGACTGTTGGCCTGACAGATCCATATTAAATACTGTTTCTTAGTTGAAATGGGAATGTGAAAACATGAAATGCTGACTACATGTTATAACCTTTTTAGAACAAACCAAAATTTGTATAAGCCTAAAATAAATAGTAATGTTTGTGTGTGGACACCTCTACCTATAGTTAAAGCTAGGGTAGGTAATGTTAGACAAACTAGAAAAAAATAGAAATTAGATTTTAACAGTATCCAACTGAAAAAAAACCCACACCCTTGCTCCAACGTACATTAACATGCAGTGCCTTGGAGGAGCACAGCGCACTATTGTCATTGCTAACCGTATCCAGTCTCGTTTATACGTATTCATTCTACTCACTAGTTCGGGAAAAAAAACAATTCCCCCCCCACAACAAAACAAACCAGTCATGTCTCGCCATAATTGAAAAACCACAGCGATGTTACTCTGGTTTGACCTATTGCTTTATCCAAACTTTTTGTTCATAGCCTTTTCGACTTTGGTGTTTTCTTAACAAATATAACAGAAAAAGCTTCTGAAATGCTCTACCCTCCCAACATTGTTACTACATTATTAACAGCACCAACTACTTGAACCTTTGTTGTCATTTATCGGTCATTCTCCTCTCTTTACACTTTTTAGAGCGTTCCAGGGGTCGTGGAGAGTCTTAAGATCATCACCAGGAACAATTCCCTCAGGATCGCTGACTATGCCTTCAAACTGGCCCGGGAGAAAGGTCGTCGCAGGGTCACTGCCGTACACAAGGCAAACATCATGTGAGTTTCTCTTATGCAAATGTAAACGTAAAAGCTGTCTGGCCTCCTGAGTCTTTACATAATATTATTTCTTAGTGCTGGAAATGTTGAGTGTGGCCTTTCTGCTCCAACAGGAAGCTCGGCGATGGCTTGTTCCTGCAGTGTTGCCGTGAAGTGGCCTCTGGTTACCCAGACATCACTTTTGACAGCATGATTGTGGACAACACCACCATGCAGGTGATGGGAGATTAAATGACACACATCTGAGATTGGAAAAGTTTCTAAATGTTGCTGTATCTAAGTGATTGACCTGTCACCTTGTTTGTTTGTGTTTTTAGCTGGTGTCCAAGCCCCATCAGTTTGATGTGATGGTGATGCCCAATCTGTATGGGAACGTGGTGAGCAACGTGTGTGCGGGCCTGGTGGGAGGGCCTGGCCTTGTGCCCGGGGCTAATTATGGCCATGTCTATGCCGTCTTTGAAACGGTGAGTGTTTGGCAGTTGTTTGGTTAGTAGGACACTGCGCCCTCTGTTTTCTGAATAATGAAAAAAATCATGAATCATGTCTTTTTGAGATATTGTAATTCAGAGTTTTGTCTCTTTCTTGGACTATTTTTCTGGGTCTCTTAGGCCACAAGGAACACAGGGAAGAGCATTGCTAACAGGAACATTGCTAACCCCACTGCCATGCTGCTAGCCAGCTGCATGATGCTGGACCACCTTAAGTAAGCTTTTCCAGATAAAACACTTTTAAGTATATACCTTCATGTGGTTCCATCTGAGCTGTAACGTTGTGACTGTTAACTTTTCCTGTATGTCTTCAGGCTTTATGACCATGCAAGTTCGATCCGAAATGCAATCCTCAACACCATGAATGAAACCAGGGTAAGTCTTCCTTCACCTGGCTCGCTGCCACAAAGCCATTGTTGTGTGACAGAGGCTTAGAGGCCTTGTTGGCAGATCTGCCGTGCTTCCTAGTTGGCATCACAATACGCTCACACAAAGCAGTATTGTGTTGTTTCAATATCACAAAGCCCTTATAAAGTGCTACACTGTATGGTATCTGATTTTACATTGTGTGGCATTGACATTCGTTATGGTCCATTTTAATCCTGTTCTGCTTGTCATCCAAAGCAGCAGATGGGTTGCTGTTTTGGCAAAATTTTTGAGAGATGATATGCATTTTATTTCTCCCCAGTGGGGAACTACACGAGGACAGAAATTTCCATAGTCTTTGATGCCATTTAACTTAACTTGATTAATTTTAGACCATGTTTGTGGTTTATGAGCATCCTGTTTTGTGTTTGTTTTTTTCTCGCAGTTGCACACAGCTGATATCGGGGGTCAGGGCACCACATCAGAGGTGGTCCAAACCATCATGAGGTTCATCCAGAGTAAAGGGCAGCTCACATCTGAGTACTAAACACGCACACTCGTCAGAGGTGCGAGTTTGAACAGGTGTCTGTACCCGGGAAAGGTGTACAGTGTGAGAGAGGATGTCCATGCATGTCTGTTTCCATAGCGTCGGGTCTTATCACTGACATCAGAACGGTTCCTTTGTTTTTTTTCCGTCTTGTTCACACAGCTTACTGACCATTTTACTGTACAAACGACCTTTTATTCACACCTGTGTGTTTCACATGTAACAATAACGGTTTCATTATCACTGCTTTCATGTGATAAATCCTACTCTAAGGAGTTCATCAGGTTCATTCAGTTGAAAATCTTTGTTCTTACAAATAATGGAATATGAAAAGGTCTCTTGCAGTATGGAAAGAACAAAAACACTTGTTGGAATAAGAAATATCTATAATATCCTAATCTGGGCATGCATTGTCCACTGTACATTCTTCAATGAGGACCATTATTTATTTTATTGTGTGTTTCCGGCTTTTTCAATCAACCAAAATGATAGAATGGTCGTTGAACGCCTTCACTTTTTTTTGTGATACTGTAACTTAAATACAGAGTTGCCTGTTATATACTGTACTATCCTATATGTCACATCAGATCAAGTGTACTATAAAAATTGTCATATAGCTATTTCATATATGCTGTATTGTCAGGAGGAGGTGTATATCAAGTAATTGTTGTCAAAGCTGAACTGTTACGCTTGTGCCATAATCCTTTCACCTAAGCTGCGATCAGATCATAAAAATAACTGTCTTAAAGTCTAACCAGACAAGAGCTCTTTTTTCTTTTCAATTATGTCTGTGGATGGGTATATATATACTGTATAACACAAATATTATCAATAAAGAAATAATATACCTTAAAGTGATCTTTTTAATGCTGTACATGTTTCTGTTTAGTTTTAGCTGGGTGTACCTAATTAAACTGGTGTGTAACTGGAGTGTATATAGTCCTTACTGGAAGGTTTTATTGCTAATATCAGTCTAAGTTTACCTTGATTCTTTGTCTCAGCTTCAAGGAAAGAAGCTCTCTTCTGGCCTCTTGCAGAGGATAAAGATCATTTAGCCTCAAACAAGATAAAGCTCACTGATCCTTCCGTTTATTTTACAATTTCATGCTCAGTCAACATCTTACTTACAACACTGGATGACAAGTTGCTGTTTTACATCACATCACTAGATGGCAACAGCACTTTCTGGAGTTGCCACTAAACTGTAACATGGGGCAAATTGTGCATGACTGTGTGTGTGCTTTCTTTCACCTTCTGACAAGGACACATTTTAGAATATATGTAGTCCCTGTGGATTGCATGTTATGACTGCACTGACTACATATTTTAAAAGCTGCAGGGAAAAATAGGATGCAAGAATCTCTGGCAAGCAGATTGTTTTACACAATTGGGAACATTACGATATTTCTTTTCATGTGATTTCTAGGAAACTGGCTTCAGACTGCATGTTTCCAAGACTAACGTGAAGGATTTTGGTTTTGCTCTCTGTTGAAATTATCCTCATTTACCATAAAACCCAAACCATTTATTATAGTTTCACCTGGTAAAACCAAACCATCCATTATTGATTCATCTAGTTTTTCAAATATTCTGACCACAGAGGAATATAATATAGACGTTATATTGGTACATTGTTAAGCAGTGATCTCCTGCTTACGTATATTGTAATCCCAGTCCGCCTCTCTTTCTCCGATAGGGCCTGCGGTCACAGGGGCACATCCCATTGTAATGGCACTGACCAATTTATCATGTGTCCAATTCTGTGGGAAAGTTACAAACTGTTCCCTCTGTTAGAATATTTGCATATTGAGCAAAGAAATCCTTGTGATGAGGCTCCCTCTTTTTTTTTGGATGCAGTTTTCCTCGGGAATCAACACTGATACACTGCACAATGTGCACAATGTGTGAAATGTGCAAGGAATTACTACGTGTGTACTTTGTCGTCTGCCAGTTGGCGATATTTTAACTGTTTTACTCTCTCTCCATTCATGTCAGTTATTCACTCTACAGAAACAGCCAGTTGGCTCTTAAATGTTGTCGCTCTTTTTCAGTTAGAATCAATCTTTTTTTGTTGAACTTTACGTAAGAGGTTCCCCTACTCTGGGCCAGCTTTTTCTCATCATCTTATTCCACTCAGGCTGTTTACCTCATCGTACCTCACATTACTTCTCATCACTGTACATGGGGCTACGCACTCTCTCCCTTGTCACCCCTCACCTCTCAATCCCTCCCTCTCTCCCTCCCGAGCTGCTCTGGTCCCCCCCTGAGCCTCCCGCTGGAGCTAGGCCATGAGGCAGATGGTCGGAGAGGGAAATGTTGCAACAAACCACCGGCCACTTGACCTTTACAGGCCACCATTCAGTCCTCATACAAACCTGTGAAGGGGCCCAAACTGCTGTGCATTTTCTGCTGTAAGAGCTGCCTTTAAAGGGTTGGTTCACCCAAATTACAAATAAAAATCTCACTATCTCCCCAGATAGTTTTGGTCTTGTGTGCCCAGTTTTATTGATATCTATCTCTGAGATTTGTGCTGGTATTCCTACATATAAGGGATATGAAATTTTAGTGCTCACAGCTTTGATAAATCACTCTAATACTCTGAATAATCCACAGAGCTCAAAATAGTCCATATGAAAACTGTTTGCAGCATGTTGTGATTATCCAGAGTAATACGCTCTCTGAAAAGAGATTTTAATTTAATTTCTTGATACTGGGAGCACCACAAACAAAACTGTATTCACCTCCATTGTGTGTTGGTTGACATACAGACAGATATCTGAAAACTTTGCTGCACAAATTAAACCAAAATTATCAGCATGCTACAAGATGTGAGTGAGAAATAGTTATTTATCATAATTAGGGTAAAATGATGTTTAAATGTTTCACACACACACACTGTTTTCTTGAATATAGTGAATGATCACGCTTGGCTGACCAGGTTGATTCTGTGACGTAATCTCCCCCTATCATGCTTTTCTTACATCATGTACACTCATACAGGTGTGTTTGAGCTTTCTAGCACTCACTAAACTTGCAGCTGCTTGCTGGTTTATCAGCTTAGATGTCTTTTTGGCTGCAGCATCCCCTCCCTACTTCTCCATTCCTCTCCTCCTCATGTCACTTTGAAACGCCATGTTTAGTATTTACTGCCTTTCTAAAATGAATGCTAATCTGTAAGGTTGAGTCAAACCACAAGATATTAAAACTTGGTTTTATTATTGGCCATAATTCTTCCTAAGCTTGCTCCTGTTCCTATCTGGAGTCCTCCCTTGCTCATTCTTTCTCTCTCTCTGTCACTCTTT